AAGCCAGATTCTCCGTGTTTGGAATATCAGCTGAATAAATCGAACAATCTAGGATGCTTATCAGCAAGCCGAAATAGTTTCGCATCAGCTGAAGAGAAGTGAATGAGACTGGGAATCTATGAAGTAAACTGTTTTCCTAGTTCAGTTCATTATATTTATGTTAAATTTCAGAAAATTCTCGTATCAATGCTGAATTCGATTCAAGAAAACAATTTGTTGAATGGAAATACAGTTTATCGAATCAACCAAATATTTCATTGAATCTACCAAATAATTCTTTGAATCAATATCTTGTTATTTTGAATCAAACGAAATGATTGTTTGAGTCAATTCAATATATCTTCATAAACAATTCATATAGATGTGTTTGATTGAATAAGATCCAGAAATCATGAAAGACATATTTACTTGATTCAAACCCGAATTCGCTCTGAAACAAGATATAGATGTACTCATATCATGATCATATTCTGTCGTGCATGTATGACACTTGTCTTATATTTGCTTCATTTGATCAAATTTGGCTTGATTCAACAATTTAATTTTTTCTGTGTATCGACGCGATTTTGGACATTTGTGTATGACATTTTTTAAATAATATTGGCAGGCCCTATGACCCCATACGGTTATATGAGGGACATATATCTATATACAGTATATCCTTCCGAAGAAAATTTGAGCTTACTTGTGAACCGTGAGCCGCAGTCAGAGTAGGCGTCATACCACCTACTGCGATTGTTTCGATGAGATGAAAGCACTGCTATCACCGTGATTCATAATTAATATTCATTTTGTAATGACTCAATACTAATTTCAAATCGGTTTTAATGGATAAAGAACGAGATCTGTCATCGCTGATGACTTTCGGTTAGCGAGTTTATTCACGTGTCAGAACTTTTTGGATGATTGGAAAAAAATATCTCCCTATATTATGTGTGTTGGCATGGCCATTGTTCATTCATATGATGGACTGGAGAACATGTGAAACTGAGTAAAATATTCGATTCAATCAATTGTCAAAAAACTTCAACATGAAATTCCATGATATATAGGTTGTTTAAGGGTTGAAGTGACTAAAGCATAGGGGAGATTCCGCTTGGAAAAATATGAGTGATAGTTCATATGAGTTCAGAAATGATAAGTTTTCGAGTTACAGGGTGTTGACCTGTTTGAAAAAAATGATGAAATCCCTTTATAATAGCTTAAGAGAACGCTTCAGCCGAATTTGATGAGATTTCCGAGGTTACCTCATTATTTTTTCCTAAAATATACTTCGGAACAAAATGATGAAATCCCTTTATGATAGCTTAAGAGAACGCTTCAGCCGAATTTGATGAGATTTCCGAGGTTACCTCATTATTTTTTCCTAAAATATACTTCGGTTTTTGGTAACAACTTCTATGTGAATTTATACGATCCTGATCCTGAAATTGGATTAACTAAATTTACCAAACAATGGTAAAACCAATTATCACGTATGGCTTGGTAGTCTGGTGGACTAAAGGTCTGCAAGGAACAGCCAGGGAAAAACTTGTTGGTCTTCAGCGGCTGGCATGCATGGCCATTTATTAGAGGGGCGATGTCCTCTACCCCAACGATAGCGATGGAAAACCTTCTGAACCTCACTCTCCTCCACATTGCCTTGAAGATAGAAGCCAAGATGGTTTTCTACAAATTCCTATCACTAGAAAATCAAATTAGAGGGGGTCGACTGCTGGACCACTCCGGGATACTGTGTGAAATAAAAAATCACGAAACTCTAGGAATGGTTCCCGACATGTTGGCTACTCAGACACACGTGAAAAAGTCTTTTGAAGTCCTCTTCCCGAAGATCTCGTTCTTCATTCATTAAAACCGATTTCAAATTAGTATTAAGTCATTACAAAATGAATATTAATTATAAATCACGGTGATAGCAGTGCTTTCATCTCATCGAAGCAATCGCAGTAGGTGGTATGACGCCTACTCTGATTGCGGCTCACGGCTCACAAGTAATAGAAATACCAGTAAGACGAACTTGTCATCCTCGAAAGATGTCGAACAGCACTTTATCGAAACTCCTCCATCTATAGAACGGCTAGGGTCTGGAATTCATTGCCTGAGGAAGTATTCCCAACAACATATAATCTCCAGAAGTTCAAAAAAAAGTCCAATACCTACCTTCTGTCCCTATCCTCCCTAGGAACGCACGATGTTCTCTGAACATTATAGGGATTTTCTTCCGTGTGCTTCAAACGATGAAAAAAATCCCAGAGACCGAATAAGTAATGTACACAGATGATTCGAAAACCCCTCTTGGAGTTGGAGCGGTGTGTTCAGCAGAAAACCGAAGACGGAAATCTCTGTCAATCTTCCAGGCGAAGGTTTCCGCAATTGAATTGTGTGCTAGAGAGTTGACGAATAGACCTCTAATAGACAAAAACATCAGTATTGTATCAGACAGTGAGGTTGCTTTGGAAGCACTGAGCCCCAGCATGATGAATTCCAAGCTTATATGGAGCTGTACTGAATTCCAAGAATGTCTGGGTTCAATCAAAAAGGTTACTTCGCTGTGGAGCCTAGATTCCAAAGGGTGGAGGACAACGACGAATCCGAGATATTTGCCAAACAGGAAACAGAATCTGTGTTCATATAGGACCAGAACCATATTCTGGGATCACCGCAATTGCGGCCAAAACAACTACCTCGGACTGGACGGAGGGGTAAAGACTCACGTACTGGTCTGAATTACCAGGAATAACCCATTCGAAGGCGTTTTTACCTAAACCATCAAAGAATATAACCCGGCAGATCCTAGAATGGATCAGGGGTAACTTGCGAATTCTGACAGGACTGCTTACGGGACACTGTCGTCTGAGATACCACCTGGAATCTGAAATGGGTCTGGACCAGTAAACGGACTGTCGGTTCAGCTGTGTGAAAGACAAAACGGCTGAACTTATACCTATATTTCTAATTTCCCAAACCAGATTTTCGTTTTCCATATATGGATCACCGTTACCTATCAGACCTCTCGATATCAAAAAGTTCGAAATCTGTGCCTTATAGATCATGAGCAGCTGACTGGAACTGAAATAGCTCCCGACCCGAAAAAGAAAACCAAGTTTTTGAGATGTACTTAGTACCAATGTAATAATGTAATGAAAAAGCTGAGAGAATTCGTAGTTATGCAAATAAACGATTAAAAATTCATAATGGATACTTGCTAATTACGTAATGAATAGTAATTAAGTATAACATTGACCCGCCTTCAAGTTCACTGCAACCATTTGATTTCCTGTTTGAGAGGAGTGTCGCTATTATAATATGCAGATTATCGAAGTCAAGCTGAAACTTGACCACCAATCAGGACAACTCATTAGATCTCTATTTATTCATTCATTTATACAATGATTCATTTATTTATATATAGTTTGATGAGATATAAATTATGTATATGTACATGTGAGTATAAGTATGATGAAGGGAATATTGAGTATACTGTTTTGAGCAACCATGGCAGGAAGAAAATATTAGACATGGCCCTCCTGAAACCAGCCGAACATTTGTGGTTGCGTTCAGCAGACTCTGCATTCTGTTCGTCTTCGTTGACCCCATTGATTTGTTGTTTCGTCTTCCACCAGGTGTTGCCTATCTTTTGCACCTTCTCCACCGTGTTGATTAGGGTCGAAAGCACGAAACACGTGTGTGGGTTAACTACTGTTCATGGGGCCTATGTCCAATGATTTCTTCCTAGTGGCTTATAAGTATATCGGGTGGTCACAAAAAAACGGATGTTTTTATTTTCTTGACGTTATTTTGTTGCTCAAGGGCTATAGTATAGAGTGCAATATTTCAAAAGTAGATAATTGAAAAAAAAAAATGGTGGAGTATCTCAAATATTTATGATTTACAAACACTGCTGGCGAATAAGAAAATTAGAATTTTTCCATCCAGTAACGATGCTATTTTGGAACGTTGATTTCTGAAGAAAATGACTACTTGAATATCGGAATAGAAAAAATAGTCCAGGAGATACACACACTTTCTCGCAGTTTGTTATATTATTATGGAGTGAATGTGCTAATCTCATAATAACGATTATCATTATTTATCATTATTTCGCTTCTGGCTTCATCACACTTCAATCTATTTCATGTTCCTCAAAGACACTCCAAACTGTATTAGACAGTGAAATATTTGAAAATTTCATATTTGAAAGATAACGAAATGGTGGATTATCTCAAGCATTTGTGATTTACAAAAACCGCTTGCCTCAACCACGGGCACTAGCAACTATTGAAATCGAATAATTAACTAGATTGTTGCAGTTAGTATGTTGTTATCAGATGAAAAAATATTTATCGAACTTTGTTTTTCAGCACATTGACTCCATAACATTACTAGAAAGTGCGTACATTCCGTGGATAATTTGTTAGATTCAGATGTTGGAGCACTCTTTTTTTTAGAAAGCAAGGATCTAGAAGTGCATCGGTTCGGATTGAAATAATGAACATTTTTTATTCGCCAGCGGTTTTTCAACTATAAAATTTTCAAATGTTCCACTGTGTAATACAGCTTTTCATTTTCGGAATGGCTTCGAGAAATCCGGAATTGATTGAGATTTGATGACGCCAGAAGCAAAATAATAATTACCGTTATTACGAGATTAGCACATTCACTCCTTAACAAACTGCGAAAAAGTGAGTGTATCTCCTGGACTATTCGTTGTGAATGTTTGTAAATCGCAAACCATTTCGTTTTTTGAATTATCGAATTTCAAAATATTGCACTGAATACTATAGCCCCTTAGCTACAAAGTGACATCAAGAAATTCGAATTCGTTTGAAAAATGAAGGAATCACGGGAAAAATAAAAACTTTCGGTTTTTTGTCACCCCCGATATATAAATATCGCAGTTGATGACATGAGAAATCTGCCAAATCAATATACTAAACTGTCTAACTCTATTCATGGACATATGTGCACTTACAAGACCTTTCGTGAAGAAGAGAACTTACCATGATATGTGTTTGTTGTGGAAGGATTCCTAGGATTGTAAACAGTTATTTCCACTCCACGGTTGTTATACTCTACTTTTCGGACAGCGGCATTCAACTTGATGTCTAAACCCTCGGCAAGAGCCACGGGAACACATGAGTAGCCATTCCTCACTGGAAAAAAAAATAACATCATTAGTCAATCGTCAAGAAACATAATTATGAACATGCAATTATGCTAAAACTAACTTCAGATATGTGAAATAATTGCGTTAATCATCTCGATATAAGCATGCAATCTGAAGCTCATAAGACCATTTTTGATTTTTTATCAGAGAAAAACTAGTCCAATAAAATATTCACGTGAAGTTCGCAGGTAGTCGGTTTTTCTTCGAATATTAATGTATTTTATGGTGCTGAATCCGAATCTGAAGATTCCATACTAAAATTATTGGAGCGTTCCGAGCTATATAATGAAATAAATATTAACAGGTGAAATTTAAGCACCATTTTCAGTTCCCTGCCCGTAACTCGAAAACTATACATTTAACCTATAAACTCATCGAATAGAAGGTGAATACTGTCTGTTGAATAGGTCGGTGGAAAAATCCACTCAAGTATTCAGGTAGTGCCATCTGTCAGCAGAGTGGTTTACTAAACTTGTAGTACCACTCTGTAGCGTATATACGTAAGGGTCTGTACGTGTGACTATAGATGGCAGCGCCATACCGTGTGTGTCGCGATCTCTTGCTCCTACCTTAGAGCTTCACCACTAGATGGCTACAACATGACTAGAACTACATGTTATATCCTGCGTCTTCGAAATGGGTGATATACCCGGAGCGTAATGTTGTCCCAGTTGTCAGCAGACCGAGAGCAGCTGATGAGACCTGGTGGGTCGAAACAGTACTGTCTCGCTCCCGCTGACAATTGGAGCAACTCTGTTCATCCTGAATCTCTTAAATATGATATCTAGCAGTTGTCTGTTGATTGATCGAGGAGGTTGTGGACTCATTTCACTTGATTATTTCGGATTTGCGCAAGGATGACACGCAAAATAGTGAAGCGCTTCACATCTTCCTGAGATGAGTAAAAATCCGATATTTTTTCAATTTATCCATAGTTCTTCTCTTTAATAATTTTTTTGAACAAAGTATCACTGACAAGCTATTGGATTTTTCTTTCAGGCTTCCTGAATTTTTTAAAGCAGTGACATTTGGAAGCAAATCACCAGAAACTGAAAACAATTTTGAAAATGTATGAAGGTCTTTGGATTCAGACGTGTAACGTTCATTCAATGGTTCATCGACTACACTGGACCAATTCATTGTTATGTTACCATTATTCATGAGGAAATTATACATGAACATCATGTCAACCCTCCTCAACAATGATGTAAGTAACGATTATCTTTTGATTATGAAGATTAAAATGGAGATTTTCGAAAGCTTGGACAAACTTTCAAGGGTACTCTTTTGACTCTTGCTGCAGTATCCAATACTCCCTAGGTTCTATATGTATATTTCAACTGAACAAGGAACAATAAATGCTATTGTCTTCGTTCAGCAGAATGCAGATTTTTTCTCTTTCAGTTGTTATCCACTTTCCCAATAATTTCAATATCATACCACACTGCCATATGTTGTCCATCTTCAGTAAGGATACGTTCAGCTAGGTTCGTTTTGTCGATATGTTTTTTCATTATACTTATGTATGTACCTGGGTATTTTTATCTTTACTGGGGACAGGTCGCTTTGTTTCAACTGTATAATAGTTTTCACTAACACAAGTTATAATGTAAATACAATTTTCCAATGATTGTTCTTCATTCTTTGGATGTGGTTGAGTTAGAATTGATCTCATTGTATTTTCAGTTTGGAACACAGTTCTCACATGAAATTCATCACCAAAACGATTTATTTTTTCATATATCTGTCGTTATTGATGGTTGATTTTGTCCTGGTGCAATTCTGTTTGTATTCAATCTGATGAATCGTTTTATCGATATACGTATATTGTCTTCTATAACGTATGCCATTAGAGTTCTGAAACCAAATGTAAACACAAATGTTCTGCTTTCGGTATATTATGCTTACTTTTTTTCTAGAATCAAATTCGGTATTGCAACGTGGGGAGGTTGTTCCAACTTAAAAAACATTTTTAAACGCCAGAAAAAGGTTGTAAGAATAATATTTGGTTTATCGCATGAGTCATGTAAAGGAATTTTCAAATCAAACAGCATATTAACAGTGCCTGCAGTTTTTATTTTGGAATCAATACATTTTTGAGTACTTTGACAACTATAAAAATACTTATTTTCACAGAACTAGGTTCAAATATGATTATAACTACCCCATACATACAAAAACTATGTTTAAAAGAGGCCCACTTTACAATGCAATAAAGTTTCTTAATAATATTACCAATGAAATAAGAACCATTGGGAACTCTAGAAGCCTATTACGATCACTCGAAAACTATTTAATTCAAATGGAACCTTATTGTGTCGATGATTATTTTGTTGCCAACTAGTGTATCATTATTATTATTATTATTTAATGTTAATTATCATTGATGATTTATATATATATATAGGTATATTTGTATATTGTTTAAGTGAGTACTTCATCATATTATTTCTTGTCTGTATTTTACCTGATATTTTGCTTGTATCCGTACTCTTTTAAGTCTTCTGTATTTTGACGTTTTTCTCAGACCTTGTACTCTGTAGAAATGAATAAACTATCTATCTATCTATCTTATATTCCTCTTCTCCGAACCTTTTTTCAATGGAAAGTGTTATCGACAGCTAGTAAATTTTTCATTCAGGCTCTCTCATAGAGAAACCATAAGGTTTGTCCTTACTACACATATATTGAAATAATACTCATATTTTTCTTTTATAGAACCAAGGAGCGGGAATTCCGGAAAATATGAAATCTTCTCAACTAACCCACAGATAGTATTAGCAATATTGTGGTGAACAAAATGATAACATACTTATTATTCATTTCACACCCACAACTTTGACAGACTTTCTCAGGCTACGTGTCTGTATCACCCTGAAAAATATCCTCCCAATTAGATTTCGACTCACAAACTCTAATGTAATCGAATTATCATTTCAAATCGATCTATTCTTCGCGAAGAAATGAAGATACACGATCGCAATTTTTTTACTTGCAAAGTCTTGGCTAATCCGAAACGTGCCGTATAATCTGGGACGGAAAACTTATGGAATGCCTGGGATCGTGACCTGCAGCAAAACGTATACCGGGTGACACAGGGTATCGGGCCACCCCGGTAACTTCTGTGCATTTTTGAACGGATTCTTCTGAAATTTGGTATTGCTATATTTTCAAAAAAATTCAATTGGAAATTGCTTGTTTATTTCAATTCGTGGATAAATGAGATGTGGTCAAGAATATATCCACATCAAGAAGCTGCACATAACAGGAAAACATTTCTAGTATTGCTATGAAAAGTAGCGCATTTCTCATAGCTTACTTAGTTTCAAAACCATATATTACTCATAATGTGAGAAATATTTTTTCTCACGGCACCACATACATTTCCATGGAGAATCAACAAAAATCGACCAAAACCTGATTGACTGCTGTATCGTGGCTGCTGTTCAGCTTTGAATAGTTGTCACAACTGTCAGAAGAAGTTTTTCAAATTCTTTGGGGTAGTTCTCATTAGTGCTTTCGATAGAAATCGCAGTTTTCATCAAATATTATTCCAACAATTCCTAATAAATAATATGATGTATATATATACCGAGATGTGACGATTTCGATAAATACACCACAGACATAGGAAAGTTGGATTTGTTTCCGGAAATTCCAAGAAAAAAGTATGGATTTGCATATACGGAAAATGTATGGAATCTAAAAGAAACACAGAAATGGAATCTTTTTCGGAAAGTGTACTACCAATAAGTTACATTACTTGGATTCCTTGGATAAGTGCAGTTGTAGAAAAAGTATAGTGTGCAACATGTAGGGAAAAGTACTTTTCTCACTCGTGTGTTTGCATCACTCGCCCTTCTGGATCTTGCCACAAACTTTCACACTCGTGAGAAAACGTGAACTTTCCTTACTTGTTGCACTATATAATAATTTTTACAGTTAGTTGAGCGAGATTCAGAAATGTTGTTTTCCACAGATTACTCAGTTGAAAAATTATTCGATTTGCAAGGAAATTCATGAACTATACCTCTCCAATTACAAATGGAAACTAATAATTTTCAAAATGGGAATAATCATCTTCAAATTTGGGCGAAATGATTCAGCGTGAATTGAAAACATTAAAATTGGGACAAAATGATCAGGCACGGTTCAAACAAATCAAAATTCAAACTTCAATTCATACTCAAATGCAGACAAATCAATTTAGATTCGGACCTAAAATATGGAATTATTGATTGATAATGTTAATGATACCAAACACGAAATTCTGAAAAGAATTTCATTTTCAAATGACTGTAATAAACACTCGAATGAACATGATATGAACACTTATTTATTAAAGACTGAGAATAATTCACATTACCATATCAATAAGTAATTTCAGAGCATCAGGAATTAATCTCTGATAATTGGGTATATATACATTATCTACCACGATTATTTATTTCTATAAATCTGTACATTGATGTCGTGATGTTTTGCAGTTATTTTGGTCCTCCTTTCTCCTCTTCGTTGTTTCTCTATTTCGTTTCGGTTCTTCACTCATCGTACGCTGTTGATTCATCATTGCCGAATGTATCCGCCAGTCTCCTTCATTATTATTGAAAACCATACAAATTTGATTCCTAACATTGTGTGCATTTTATTTTAGGCATATCGATTCAAATATAAGGTGCGATGAATCATAATTGCTGATACGTAATTTCGATTATGACACAATATTGGCATAAGTAGGAGGCAGGAGTATTCTCAATTGATAATAATACGTACGTAGTAAGTACCTCAAAACGAATAATAAACTTTGAGGGAATGCTACCCAATAAGATGTAGATACCACATACCAACCAGTTAGCAGTCACTCTGAGAAGTTTCATCGTTGAAGAACAGAGAGATGAGAGGTTGAGAAGATATCATTTTGTCATTCATGAAATTGTTTTTTTGGTTCTAGTATGTGTCTGATTTATGATAAGAGGGTTATATTGT